TGTGGAGACCCTGGCTCCCCCCCCCCCCGATGTGGAGACTCAGGGTCCAGGCCTGGGGATGAGGACGCAGGAGCCCCGCAGCCAGGGGGAAGGTGACTGCAGCGCCCAGGCCCGGGCCCTGGCTGCCTGGATTCTGCAGGGGAGGCCGCGTGGCCGCTGGCCGGAGGAGGGAGCAGGGCAGGCAGGGGTGTGCTGGGGGCCTGGCTTGCCAGGACGGAGGTTAGAGACCCAGGAACCGGGAAAGAGGAGAACAGGGAAATGCACCGATCGGGAAAGAAAGAAGCAGAAGAGTCTCCTTCTGGGACTCCTCGGCCCCTGCCTCTCCGGGGGCCTGGGTGCTGGGGCGAGGGAGGGGGGCCTAATGGTCATGCTCCCGCTGGACGAGACTGTCCTCTGCACCCTCGGCCTCCATGTCTGGGCATCGGCAGCACTTTCAAAAATGACAACAGACTTGGAGTTTCCAGAGTGTCTGCTGGTCCCTGGGGCGCGCGGCCTCCCTCCAGACCAAATTAAACAGCCCGGCCCAGAAATGCCCCCAGGCGCCAGGGGCGTCTAGGAGCCAACTGCCGGCTGTTTGGCTGATTCAGCCTTCTGGGACCATGTTCCAGAGAGTTCCAGAGCCTTCAAGCTCATAAGCAACTCAGAGAGCCACCAAATTTGGGAAAAATCGAGAGGGCTTTGGAAAGAAAGCCACTGTTTGCCCATTTTTCCTCGCTGGCTCTTGTCAAGGGCAGCCCGGGACCCTCTCCGGGCTTCTGCAGGAAACACACGGAGGTGCAGGACCCGACGCCTCCCCCACACACACCCAGGCGGGCAGGCTGCCAGTGAAGCTGGGAGGCGCTGGCCCCACAGCCTGTCTCCACGGTCAGGGCACACAGTGCATGCCCACATGGAGGTCACCCGCCTGGCACTGCTGCGGGCAGGTGACGCAGAGGGCATGGAACAGGAGCCCTGCAGCCAGAGCCCCAGCTCTGCACCCACGCGGAGAGGGTGTGGCCGTCACACAGAACATCCCCCAGGCCAGGCAGGGGCTCCGCGAGCTCAGCCAGGAGCAGCCCAGTGCTGCCCACCTCAGAGGGACCCCACAGCAGCTTCCTGGGTGCTCTGAATCTGCCGGCTCTGAATCTACCCAGGCTCATCCCCAGGGGATCAAGCAGGCCTTACCGTGGCCTCTGACCCCTTCTACTTCCAGGTCCCTAAGGCGGGGAAGCACCACACCCGCCTGGGCGGGTCTAACTCTCCACCCAGCCAGGTGCCCGCTGACCAGGTGCTCTGCCAGCAGCTGCGTCTGTCTCCCTCCCCACAATGGGACAGTGGGTGCTGGGTCCAGTGGGTGCCCGGTCAGGTGGGCACCCAGTCGGGTGCTGCAGCCAGGAGGGGCACCCCCTAATAGGATCTGCCTGTCCTAGCTGCAGAGGCAGAGGCAGCACCGGCAGAGCCCGGGCTCCAGGCAGCGGCGTGACCTCCCCGCCACCAGCACGTCCTCCTGCCGCACAAGCGAGCGGCCGCACGGCAGGTGCTGCTGGCCACAGGCCCCACCTCTTGGCGCAACGCAGGACCCATCACTTCAGAGGCCACTGGCGTTCACTAAGGACGGGTCTGCCCCATTACCAAGCAACAGCCTGGCCCTCCAGGGAGGAAAGGGCGCCGGAGGCAGCCACGGGGAGCCCGTGGCCGGGGTCTGAACGCCAGACAGCAGGCGCAGCCGCCAGCTTCCACCCCAGACCCGCCCTGCGGCCCCCTCCCCCGCCCCCCAGGCCTCCTGCCTCCGGGAAGGACCAGAGCGCCTGGGCCCGGCAGGTGCTGTTTGCACAAACACGGACAGCTCCTGGGTTCCCTCCCGCGCGCAGGGCTGGCGCGGCAGACAGTGCGGGCAGGCCAACAGCTGGCGCAGAGACGGGCAGCCACGGCGCTTGATAACCACTCGGCCTGACTCCCAAGGCCGGCCGGCCAAGGACCCCCGACACCAAGGAAGGGCCGCCCTCTGCCCGCCACGCCAGGGGCGAAGCGGCAGGGCCTCTGCAGTGCCTGTTTGTGCAGGGAAATGGGAGCCAAAAAATCGCACCAGCGAATACAGGACACTCTCCTCGTCCCTACACGGGGCCTTCAGCAGCCCCAGAGCACCCTTAAAGGGACGGGAAAGGCGGGGAGTGTTTATGGAGCACACGGGGTGCTCTCAGTCCCAGGGGCAATGGGGGGCCTGAGCCCAACTCTCACCCACGCCCCTCGGGCAGCACCCAGGACCCTCACCCTCAGGAGCTGCAGCAGGCCCAGTCCTTGAGGGTGGGGACAGGCGCGCAATAAAATGATGAAAAGAACAGGGCCCCCCTCGGGCAGGGGGAGCTGTCCAGGACACAATGCCTCTAGTTCCGGGCCCCGCTCCTCACACCCCACGCGTGCCTCCGGGCAGCACCCACTTCGCACCCGCCCCGGCGCTGCCCTCACCCTGCAGGGCGCCCCTCTGTCCTGACACTGCCAAGCGCCCCGACCTCCCAGAATTCCCGAGTGGGGTCCTTGGGACACCCCCTGCAGGACTCCAGGATGCCAGCTCCGCTGGAAATTCACCCCCAGTATCGATCGGCACAGCTCAGAGTCCGCGCTGCTCTGACCGTGGACCCTGGGTCTCTGCCCTTCAGCAACCGAGGGTGCTTCTTGACGGGGCCCAAGCCCACCGATCTCAGCTCCCCGGGGCGAGCCGTGAGGCTGGCAGGGTCCTCCACCCCTCGTGCCCTACCTGCAGACCCCGAGCCCCACGCAGCGGCCCCGGGGGTCCAAGCAGCACGCCTCCTGCCCGGTGCGCTGGGGGCTCGCCAGGGCCGTGCAGTCTCCCAGCAGCCACACTCGGGGCTCTGGCCTGGCCCAGCTGACCGTCCTCGAGAGCTGGCCCCTCCTCACGTCCCAGCCCCCTCCAGGACCAGCTCATTCCGGTCTCCCCCGCTTCTGCTGGCCGCCCCTGGCCGGAATGCTCTCCTCCTTCCTCCTGCAATCAAATTCTGACCTCGACCGCGGCCAAGGTCCGCCTGCTCCGTGGGCTTCCCCCGTTAGCCTGTGACCTTTCCGAGCGCCAGCCCTGCCAGCTTCTATCGCCCATTGTCGCTGGTGCCTGACCTCTCCTTCCCATGCCCGCCCACGGCTGGCCGTCCCCAGCACCCACTCTACGCCAGGCTCCCGGGCCCACTGGGGTGCCCAAGCAGGCCATGAGGGGCCCTCACGCGCACACACATGCTCACACTCGCTCACACCTGCACTGGGGGAGCCGGGATTCCTAACGCCAGACACCCCACATCAGGGCACACATGGGGGAGACTGGAGTCCACGCGGAGCCAGAGGGCCCAAGGCCCGCCCCTGCAGAGGGAGAAACCCCCCGGGAGTCCCAGGGCTGCCAACTGTCACACCAGCGTGGTCTCAATGGGCCGTTGTCTGGGCCGCACTGGAGGGTCGGGAGGTCCAGCTGGGACAGTCGGGGTGAGGACGGAGTTACAAGGAGACTCACGCAGGGGCGCCAACAACCTACGTGGCACCAACTTCAGCAGTCAGCCCCCGCTTCTGCATCCAGCCCCGCCATCCCGTCCTTCCCCAGAAACCCACGCCAGCCGGCCCTCTGGGTCCCACACACAGTCCGGGGCCGGCAGGGGGCAGCCGCCTCCAGGCCGGCCGCTCCTCCACTCAGGCCGTGAGGAAAACCCCAGAGGCCGGAGCCGCCGTGGAGACAGTCTCCGCGGAGCGGAGCGCAGGGGGGGCTGCTGTGGTGCAGGCAGAAAGCGAAAGAGAAAGCGGCAGACAGGGGACCCAGGTAGGACAAGGCGGCCCCAAATGTCCGGCCGGCGGGGGACACGGCATCCAGCTCAGCAGATCAGCCCCGGGGCTGCCCGGGGTGCCTCAGCCAGGCCCCCACCCCGCCAGCCACAGTGGATGGTGCTGCCCACTGGTGTGGGGGACCAGGGCCCCCCGGCCACCCCCGCCCTGCTCCAGCTCAGGCCCAGCCTGCAACCACCGCGGAGGCTCTGCTGGCCAGGAGGTGGCCCCGCGCCCGCCGCCCCAGGTGGGCCGTGTGGGGCAGGCTCTGGACACTCAGATCCAGCCCCAGCTCTGCCAGGGGCAGGACCCCCGCCAGATGCGCACTTGGACTTCTGGGGCTCCTCCTGCCCAGCCCCTCTCGGCCCACCAGAGGGCTCTGCCCAGGGCCGCGGGAGCCCCTTCGAGGGGCGGGGGCTCGGGGCCCGGCGCGGACCGCCCCTCCGAAATCCGGCCGGGCGCGGGGACCATTGTGTGCGCTTCCCCTCCGGCCGCTTTATTTAGCCCGGGCGAGGGCGCAGGGCGCAGGCCGCGGCGGTCACGAGGCCACCGAGTGCGCACCCCGGCCCAGGGCCGGGATCGCGGCCGCGCTCCGCGGGGGGAGCCCCCCCAGTCTCTCCTCACTTTGTAAACTCCGAGGGGGGAGGGGACCCAAAGCTCCCGCGGCCGGCCGCAGGCCCCTCCCCCGCGCCCCTCCTCCCGCAGCCCCCGCCCCCAGCCCGACTCCGGGGGGCGCGGAGGGGTCCCGGCCCGGGGGGGTCCGATCCGGCGACCCACTGCGGCCCGTGCCGCGGCCTGCGCCGTGTCCCCGCGGCCGCGCCCCCGGCTGGGCTCGGCGGCCCTGCCCGGCCCGGATTCGGCTCGGCCCCGCGCGGGGCTGCTGTGGGGGCGCTCGGGGAGGCGGGGCGCGAACACCCCCGACCCGCCGCCGGGCCGCGGGGCCGCGCGCCGAGAGCGAAGCTGCGCGCCCGGGTAGTTCCCGGGGAGCCCGCGGAGCCCCGAGGGGGCGGCTGCCCCCCGCGAGCACGAACAACAATAAAAGGAAGGAAACCCGAGCGGCGGGCGCGGGGCGCGCGGCCCCCTCGGCCTCCCCGCGGGCGGGGGCGCAGGGGCGCGGGGGGCGCCCGCCGAGGGTCCGGCCCCGCCGCCGGGCGCCCGGCCCACCCCGGGGCCTCCGAGCGCGCCGTGGCCGGCGCGGGACCCACCTTCGAAGTCCGAGATGATCCCGTCCAGCTGCGCGTTGACCGCGGGGTCGGACATGGTGGCGCGCGGGCAGGAGGCGCGCGGAGCGCAGCGGCGAGGAGGCGCCGGCCGGGCCGCGCTGGAGGCGCCGCGCCCGCGCTCCCGCCGCCCACAGAGCAGCCGCCGAGCCCCTCGGCCCCCGGCTCGGCTGAATGAATGGGGGAGGCGCGGGCGCCGGCCTCCCCGCCCCGCGCGCCCCGCCCCCGCCGCCCGGGCGGATCGGGTTCCCGCACCGGCCCGGCCTCCCCGCGCGCACTGGCTGCCGCGCCCGCCCGTCAAGGCGGCCCGAGGGGCGGGGGCCGAGGAGCGCCTGCGGGGCCGTGGAGCCCGGACCCGAGCGTCCCGTGCCCAGGGACAGCGACCGACCCGCCCGCCCCGGCCCCCGCCCCGGCCCGGCCCTCGCCTCGGCCCCCGCCCCGGCCCCCGCCCCGGCCCCGCGCCCGGCCCGGCCCCGCCCCGGCCCGCGCCCCCGCCCCGAAGCGGCCAGATGTGGGCGGATGTGGAGGCGGGCGCGCGGGGCGGGCCGAGAGGAGAAGCGAGTCCTGCCTCTCCCTGGGGCGCGCGGCTCCTTCTGCGGGAGCTTTATGGACGCAGCGAACAAAGTTCCCCGCGCGCGGCTTCCCGCGCTCCGCGCCCCCGGGGCTAGGGAAGGGCGCGGGCGGCCGGGGGATCCGCGCCTGCCGGCCCCGAGTCCAGGCCGCGGGGCAGCGCAGAGCCCTGGCACCCGGGGCGCAGGGCCCGGCGGCCGGGCGCGCCCCTGCAGGGGCGCGGGTCGCTGCTGCGCCCTCGGCGGAGGCGCGTCCGGGTCCAGCGCAGGAGAAGGCGCGCGTCTCCACAGCCGGGGCCGGGGCCACCTCGTCTCCACGACACGGGGCTTCTAGGAGGCAGAGTGCTGGCCTCGGTCTCCCCCAGTAAGAAGTCACAGAGGCTGAAGGGCAGGCTTAGGATGGGGCGCAGACGGCTGCCCCAGGGGCTTCCTCTCCATCTGGGCCCCCAGGCCTGGCCTTTCCACCAGGACAGTGACATCCCAGGGGCTGGGGACAAAGGAGGACCTGGAAATGGAGAAGCAGCAGGCTCGGGGGCCCAGGAGGGCCAGCAGGTCTGCATGACCATTGAAGGGGTGTGTTCCCGCACCCCCACCCCCAGGCTGAACCAGTTAGCCCCACCTTGGACCCGGGGTCTCTAACCAAGGTCAGCGGGACAGTACAGCCTCCCGCAGGTGGGCCACTCACACAGGTGGCAGGGGGCAGAGCACATCCGGCACCTCTGGGTGCTCATCACATGCCCCTCCCAGCCCTCACACCCCCATTTTTGAAGGACCCCAAAGGTGCAAGGAATCTCATGTGGAGGATGCATGAGGCTTAGGGGCTGGAGAGGGATTCTTTTAAGTAGATGAAATCAAGTCCTTCCTTTTTAAGAAAAGTAGCCAGTCACTCCTCCCTCATGCTTTGGATATTTTGAACTATTTTCAACCCAGTGAGTTTGTGGACATGGATCTGCGAAACCACAGACATCTCAGATGCACACACCCTCGTCTGCCTGGGAGCCCGGCTTCAGAAATGGAGTCGCCACCACCATCACTGAGCCGCGGCGGCGGCCGTGGCCTCCAGCCGGGGAGTTCTTGGAAACCCGGCACCTGGCCTGCCGGACAGCCCACACCCTGCCTTGGGAGCTTGACGCGCCACTGCCCCTAAGAAACAGCCCCCATCACAGCCCGGGGAAGAGGCCGCCCGGTCCACGTCCAGCTTCCTTAGCCGGTGTTTTAGGAGAAGCACCTGGCGGGTGGCCGCCCCCAGGTGACTGTCCCCCCAGGGCGCTGGCGAGCCGAGTGCCGCCGCTATGTTAGCAGGGGCCCAGCTCTCTGTGCATTACTCATGCCGTTCACTGCGGCCTAAACACACCCCTATTTCCTCGGGGAGCCCAGCCCGGCCCACACCTCACCAAAAGCCTCCCCGTGGGCACCACAGAACAATGGCAGGAGGGAGCCAACTGCCCCTGCCAAAGTGCCCTGAGCCCATCCAGTCCACGCCCCTGCGCCTTGCCAGGTCAGACACCTCCAGATACGGAGACACCCTCAGGAAACCCAGCCCTGCGTTTGGCCACACGCCTGGCCAGGAAGTTCACCCTCGTGTCTAACCAGCTGCTCTCATTGCACATCATCCATTTTCTCCTTTGTTTCTGTTCCCGGACGAGATGGGAAGCAGCTGGGCAGCGCCCTGCACGTCATAATTACCTTCTCCAAATTCAAAGACGATTCAGGCTCCGGCCTCCTCTTTCCCAGCGTAAATCATCCCTCCCGGCCCTTTAATCATCCCGTCCTTTGATGGCTCCTGGTGGCTGCGTCGGATCAGGGGCTCCGGGGCTTTTATAAGGCCCAACCCCTGTGCGGCATGGAGGGGCCCCCACCCCATTCCCAGGGCCCGAGCAGTCAGGGCCGGGGCCAGGGCCAGATGACCCATCCTGGCCGGGGCACTGGGCAGATAAAAATAAGCAGCGGCAGCAGCGAGGAAAGTGAACTTAAACTGAGCAAGAAAAATAGCAGCGTGAAGGTCTCCACATTCTGGGACGGTGCCCTCACCGAGGCGGCAGGAAAAGGAAGGTGTAGGCCCGGCCACAGGGGAAGTGTCTTAAAGGGACACCACGGGGCCCCCATCACAGGCCCATCAGTAGACCTGTAGTGGGGTGAACGGTGGCCCCAAACGATACGTCCACCTGAACCTCAGATGTGATCTGATTTGGTAAAGGATCTTTGCAGAGGTAACTAAGGTCGGATCTTGTGATAAGAACATCCTGGGGATTCTGGATGGGCCCTAAGTCCCATGACTAGGAGACCAGAAAGGAGAGCTCAGGAGGGCAAAAGGCCACGTGATGCCAGAGGCAGGGGCGGGGGTGAAGGCTCCGGACTCCTGTCCTCAGCCCCACGCCGGCCCTTTGTTACAGCAGCCGCAGGACACTCATACTGACCTTGAGCCCCCATCTGAATCACTGCCTTGCGTCAGCGCTGCGTCTCCCGGAGACAGCCACGTCACGGTACCTGCCTCAGCAAGAGGCCGCCAGGGGAGCTGGGGGCGGGGGCCGCTAGTTTTAATAAGAAAAACTGGAGGCCAGGGACAGGTCAGAAAAGCACAACGTGAAGTCCGGTCCAGGCCCTTCTGGAAACGGGAAGGAGCAACCCACGGGCCGAGCCCGGCGGAATAAATGCAAGTGTGGGAAAAAGAGGGAGAGAGGAAATCAATGGGCGGAAACGGCCATTCGGCCCCAACGCAGGACGCTGACCCCGGCTCCACCCGCGGCGCAGGTGGGGCTTGTGAGCAAGGGTGGGGCAGCCCTGACCCGGCCACCCTGGGCTTCCGACGGGTCATTCTGTCAAGGACAGTCTGGCGCACAGTAGGGCCTCCTGAGCCCCAGAGCCCCGGGTCCATCAGCTGCTGCACCTCCCACAACTCCAAGGCCCTCCGTCCGCCACCTTGGTAAGTGGTGCTCAGGTCAAACCTCGAGGCCTCCCCAGACTGCCTCTGTCACCCCCGCAGCCAAACCATCAGTCTCCACCTCTGAAATATCCGCAGACCGGCTGACCCGACCTCCCCCAGGGTCCCCACACCGACCAGCACCCCCGGTCATGCCTGATACCCGACCACTAGCATCTGGGGCTGAAAGGCCACCCTGGCGTGGGGCCCTGGCCTGCTTCTGTGGAGTGAATTCTCCTGCCAAGGTGAGACACAGGCAGGCGAGGTGGGCGGTGACCCTCAGGTGTGTCCACATCAGACCCAGCGGGTGCGAGGGAGTCGGGCTCCAGCCAACACTCGGGAAGGGTAAGGAGTGTGTACTCATTCCCTTCGTTTTCAACATAACTACTTGCAGGTCATTTCGTTTGTATCGTACAAGCCTAACACAGAATTGAATTGTGTGATTTTTTTCCTAACAACAACGCGATTTATTGTGATAAAGTGTCCACACCATACAACGTGGCCATTTTAACCATTTCCAAGCAGAGAGTTCAGGGACATTAACCACAGCAGCCCTCACCACCACTCATTTCCAGAACTTTCTGTCATCCCAACTGAAACTCTATTCCCATTAAACACTGTCCCCCTCAACTCCCCCAGCCCCTACTTTCTTTCTCTGAGGCTCTCACCCCTCTAGGTACCCGATATAAGGGGAATCATATATTGTCCTTTTGCATTATTTAAGCTTCACACTCAAGTGTGGGCCAGAATTTCCTTCCTTTTTAAGGCTGAATAATATTCCTTTGTGCGCACAGAGGCGTTTTCTTACCCATTCACCCCCTCCCAGGGCTCCCCCTTCTGGCTGTTGTAATAGTGCTGCTTTGAACACGATCCTGCTCTCAGTTCTGGGGTCTATACCCAGAAGTGGCGTGGCTGGACTATAGGGTAATCCCACATAATTTAATTGTGAATCATCAATTATGTGTAATTTATTTTTAATTTTGTTATAGAAAACATTTTACAAAATATAAATTATATGTCTTAATACCTTCTTTTAATATAGAATAAGAATTTTGATGATGGCTAGGTTTAACAGCCAGCTCACAAAATACCTGAAAATTTAACCCCTGGTTCTTGCTTCATTGCACCCTCTCTCTCTCCTGGGTTCCCACGAAGCCTCCAGACTGACCTGCTCATTTCTGCTCTTGCTCCCTTGCACCCAGAACTTACAGGGCGCCTGGTAAAAGTCACACCAGACCCCGGAACCCGTGGCCTCGCTCACGCTTAGCATGAAGCGCAGACTCCACCTCGGTCGCCAAGGTCCCAGTGTGGCCTGTGCCAGCTGCCCACCCGGTCGCTCTCCCGGACCCACCCGTCTCCTTCCCTGCCCTTGCACTGTCTCTGCCACAGGACACGTGCATGAGCTGCTGTCTGCCAGGTCCTCTTCTGCTGTCCCCCGTGGGTCTTTTCGGTCTTAAATATCAGAGCCACCATCCCAGAGTCCCCCCAGGCATGCAATGGGGCCTGCCCCAGGGAGTGACAACGTTCTGTTTCCTTGCAGGGCCGCAGGGTCACAGGGATTCCTGACAGGAAATCGGC